ATGCAATCTTAGACCTCCAACTCACCCACAGCAAGTCCAAGAGACAACAAAATAGAGGAGAATGGAAGACATACACCTGAACTTTCTGAAATGATAGTATTACAGGCAGCAAAGTTAGATAAAAATGTTATAGGCAGTCAGATAAGGCTCAGCCCTAAAGAAGCCAGTGCAGAAGACCAGTGAGGGAGACAGAAACCTCCCACTGAGGGCCAGATCTAAAAACAAAAGATAAAACAAATGCTAAGGATAAACATCAGGGATTGATATTCCAAACAGGAATCAGTCACCTTGAGGAAGGCTCAAGGAGTCACAAACCCAACAACTAAAGGTAAAGCCTCTGTTCTGTATTCATGAGCCTTTGCTATGTGACACACTTCCCCATTTGATCTCCATTTAATCAGTTTTATCTGAGTAATTATACCTGTTTGACTGTACTTCTGTCCAACCTTATACCCATCTTGTGATTTCCCATTTTTTCCTCAACTTGGACCCACCTCACATCTAGGATTTGCTCTATAAAAATTCCTAGAAAAGGCAGGGTCCTTGACAACCCTCTTGGGACCCCTTCTGTGTCTCTTGGACAGAAGCTTTCTTTGTCTCAATAAATATATTTTACTCTTAAGCTTTATTGTATCTAAAATTAATTCTTCACTTTTAGAGAACACAAACTCAAATTAGATGTCTATTTGGTTGGAAGCTTCTTCCTTCTATATCAATAGCAATCAAAGTAAAGAAACATGGAGGAAACTAGATGAGAAACAATCTCTTATGAAGATGCAAAGGAATTGAAACTGTCCCATGCATATTATCTGACTATAGTGCAATCAAGTTGGAAATTAATGGCAAAAGAAACCACAAACACTCCATAAAAATATGGAAATTAAATAGTACATTCTGAACAAACAATTGCTCACAGAAGAAATTAAAGAAGAAATTAAGCAATATCTAAACTCAAATGAAAATGCAAATGCAACCTTCTGGAACTTGTGAGATGGAATGAAAGCAGTCCTGGAAGAGAAATGTATAGCAGTGAATGCTCACATCAGGAAAAGAGAATGAGCACAAATAAACAAGCTAATGCTCTATCTCAAGCTTCTATAAAAGGAAGAGCAAGTCAAGCCCAAAGGCCATACAAGGGAGGAAATTATAATGATCAGAGCAAAAATTAATTCAATTGAGACTAAGAAAATATTTCAAAGAATTAATGAATCCAAGAGCTCGTTGTTTGAAATAATAAATAAAATTGATAAACTCTTAGCCAATCTAATTTTAAAAAGGAAAGAAAAAAAATCTCAAATTCATGCAATGAGGAATGAAAAAGGTAAAGTCACTATAGACCCTGTGGAAATTCAGAAGATCATCAATGTGTACTTTGAAAATCTTTACTTATATAGGACAGAAAATACAGAAGAAATGGACAGAATTCTAGAAACATATGAATCACCAAAGCTGATTCAAGAAGATGTAAAAAAATTCTGAACAACTCAGTATCAGTTAATGAAATTGAAAACACAATTAAAAACTTGCTAACAAAGAAAACCCCAAGTCCTGATGGATTCATGGCTGAATTCCACAAGAAATTTAGAGATTTAATGTCAATACTCTTCAAACTCTTCACTGAAATTGAAAGGGAAGCAATTCTCCCTAACTCATTCCTGGAGCAGATATTACACTGATAACAAAACCAAAGCAAGACCCAGTGAAGAAAGCTACAGGTCAGTCTCCCTGATGAACATAGATGCAAAAATTCTCAATAAAATACTAGCAAACAGAATGCAACAAATCATCAAGAAGATTACACATCATGATGAATTTAGAATTCATTCCATAAATGTAGAGATGATTTAACATATGCAAATTAGTAAACTTAATACACCATATCAACAGAACCAAAGACAAAAATCATATGATCATTTCAATAGATGCAGAAAAAGCTTTTGATAAATTCCAACACTCATTCATGATAAAAAAGAAATGCCCTACAAAAATTAGAATAGATGGTCTTGTCTTTGTTTTTCTTGGTTTATTTATTTATTTATTTTTACCAAGAATTGAACTCAGGATTTCATGCTTGCCAAACAGGTGTGATGCCACAGAGCTAAATTCTGGGCCTATTTTTTCTCTTTAAAATAAAAAAAGGCATTATTTTAACAATAATATATCAATTGGCCTAAGTATTTTCATATTCATACAAACTAGTGATGGAAAACAGTTGCTTTTCCAATTTATAGATAAATAAAACAAAGTAAAGAGCACTTGGGTAGATATGTGTACACCGAAACGACTCAGTAGGCAACTGAGTGTCCTGAATATCAGGTTGATTTTTTTCCCACTGAGAAATACATCTAGGTAGGTGTGATGTTTCTATGCTGTTCATAGTTTCAAATTTGGTTCCTTCTTTTGTATCTGTTTAGCTAAGTGTGTTCTGTTTTGTTGTTTAAATCTTCTAAATGGTTTAAATCACATAAAATTTTGCATGTCATTTTTGATTTTTGAAAGACAAAAGTTTAGATGAGTGACAAACCAAGATGATTCATAATTTTGTGGCTAGTCAAGTTCTAGGTCACTGTCATTTGCTAGAGAGTTACCATTGGTTATTTTGTACAAATATTCTTTCTGGGTTGAGCCAATATACTACCTGTGCCTTTCACAGTTCATGGAAATAAATCAAGAAGCAGTAAATTATAGTCAACCCACAACTACCACATCATCTGTGTTGATGAATGTGAGAATTGCAATATATTGTTTTATTTACTGCAGTCTGAATACATTGTGAATTGATTTGTTGTTTCTTAAAGCTCTATAAATTTCAAGAGAACTTTTAGAAAAGCTATTCTGTCAACCTAGACATAAAAGAGGGTTATAGATACTAGATCAGTTAACATTGATAATAAGTAATACTGATATGTAGTTTGGCTTTGAAATGTCCCCTAGTGGCTTATAACTTAAAAGTTTGGTCCTCTACTCATGGAGCTACTGGGAAATAGTACAACATTAAAGAAATGAGGTTTAGTAAGGTCTTAGGTCGTTAGAGGCATACATACCTTCAAAAAAGATGATGGGCCTCTGGTCTCCTCTGGTTTCTGATTCTCTCTTTTTACTTGCCGGCTCCATGAGGTGAAGGAGCTTGCTTCCCTGCATGCTTCCTGGTATCATGCTCTCCTACAGGCCCCAAAATGACAAAGCCAACTGATCATGAACTCAAACCTACAAGAAAAGGACTCAAGATATATACACCCTCAACCTTAGAAGTGTGTTATCTGAGGTAGATTATCTGAGCTATTTTGTCACAGTGAGGGGAAACTGACAAGCACAGATGACATTACTAGACTTTTCTGGGTGCCTGGAAGTCGTTTAAAAACTGTGTTCTTTGAATCTTATAAGAAATAGGACAAATAATTGTTTATATTGAGAGTTTGTTGTTTCTTAGAATTTTTTTTACATCTATTTTATTTTATTTTTTATTATACGTTTGCAATCCATGTAGTTTACAATCATTGTAGATCCTGCTTTCTGAATGGGAGCCAGGAATTAGGATTCCACCCCTGTTTAATTTAGCTGTGCTGAGCCACAAACCCTCTGCAGTAGGAAATGACTCACTCCATCTAGCTTTAACTCTTTGCCACAACTCATTCTTATTCCTTTTTTTATCATTATTTTGATATTCCAGATGTTACTCGTGATTCCTTATATGATTATATCTTAAGTAAATGACGTTTAGGTGATGTTTTATTGACCTCCCTACCTGTAAGTCCTTTGAACCACCTCTGAATTTCCATGCTTGTTGTGTTTTTACTTTTTGCTGCACTGCACCCTTTTGTTATGTGTGAGCTTGTTTTATCTTTTTTTCCCTGAAGACACATTCATGTAAGATAGCAAAAGCAGCGGTCCATCTCTGGTCCTAATCTCAGTATACAGTAAGGATTCAGGGAATATTTGTTGAAACCAGTCTTTAGACTGTAATGCAATGTTATTTCAGAAAAATGCTCACTATCTCTGCATACTTTACATATTTGGACCCTCCTGAAGCCACATAAGTCTAAATTATCAAAGCAGAATGTGCATAAACAGCTCTCTGTGAGTGCATGTATTTTGTTATTAGTGTGGAATATATATATATATATATATATATATATATATATTTTTTTTTTTTTTTTTTTTTTTTTTTTTTTTTTTTTTTTTTACCCTGCAGCATTTCGGAAAGCTTCAAGTTGTTTCCAAGTATTTTAAGTGGAGAGACATTTCTAAGTTTCTGAATGTTTACAAAAGGCATTTTCTACTTAAATTTAGCCTGCTTCACTTGTCATTGTTTTATGTAGCTTTATTCAGCTTTTAAATTTTTTTTTTTTAAGTTTAGTTACTGCCTGATGTTTAAGGTGTTTAGATGCCATTTGGAGGTTTCATAAGAAGAGGTCACTTGGAGTTCAGAAATGTTTAGAAAAGAGAAAAAAAATCTTAGCAAATTTCTCCTCGGGGTTAGCCATTTCGAACTTTTTCCTTATTTGTATTCAAGATATATAGGCCACACTAACGTGATCTATTGTGAATCAGACTAAATGCGAAGTGAAAAACTGGGTCAAAGTAAGTGATGTCATCTTTTAAAGGAGTTTTGCAAATCCCTTATGCTGAGGTTGTTTAAAAAACGCACACTCAAAATCATATTTTAATGTGATGCACTTACTGACTTTGAAAAGAAACTTACCAAAAAGAATAATGTCAGAAAGTTCCATTGCTCTGCCTGAATTTATTGCTCATAATTGTGGAACATATGCCCCGAGCTGTAAAGTCATGAAGACGGAGCATCTGAGTCATTATTCCCTTTCTTGTTTGGCGTGGAGGGAGAGCGAATTTCAGATGTTCATTTGTGCATCTAACCATGCTACTTTAAACGTAGCTAGCCCGAGCATCCATTGAGAAAAAGAGAGAGACGGAAGTGACCAATCGCAGGCTTCTTTTTGGCTGGATAAAACATTTACACAGAACTCCTGGCTTCCCCTCAAGCGGAGCTTTTGCAAGGGATTTATAGGTCAGATAGCTCAGCAGTTTCAGCTTGTTGCCCACCGTATCTTAACAAAGCTTGTGCGTGTTTGTACAGCTGGACTAGTAGCTGTGGGAGTCCCGGGAATCCCACAAGCCTCTGTCCCTTACCTCCCTTTGCCATTTACCAGCACACAAACACACAGAACGAAACTGTCTGACTAGCAGGTTAAAGGCCCACAATTCAAGCCCTGTTTATTTTCTTTCCTTGATTTCCTGCTGCTACAGTGAGTAAATGATATTTTTCCCTTTCCTTTGTATTTTTTTAAACTTGTTTGTCTATCAATGTCTGGTAGAGAACGAAGGAAATATTAACAGTTTACCATGGTGTGCAAGACTCATGCTTTGGGATGCAATCTTTAGTTTCTTTTCCTCCTCTCGTCTTCTTCCCTCCTTCTCTCCCTCCAGCTCCTCCATTCTCATCTTTTTCTTATGGGGGGTGGGATTTACCCGAAGAAAGAAAAAAATATCCCTGAACTCCTCAAGTGTAGCTTCACCCAGAGGAAGGGTGTTATTTTAATTACTGCTGAACCCATTCTGTGGGGAGGCCTGTAAATGCCTGATGCAGCAGGGAGAGCCGCGTTAATATGCCTTTTGAATCACTGCCACAAACTACAAAGACTGCCATCTGGGGAGGTATTACATTTGTGAGAAAAAGAAATAGTTGAGACTTTTCTTTAAATGAGCTTGTAAATTCCAGTCAAACTTAGCTTCATTTCATTTTTCCCCTCAAAGAAATCCTTCCATATGAAATATTTAACATTATATTAATTAACCAGACTAGGAGCAGAGTCTGCATTTCAATGATTACTGGTGTGCTCAGAGATTTCATGGTATGTTTACATTTTGGCTTGTTTACTGTCATCCCCAACAGCCATTTCAGTAAATCTTTGAATTGGAAAAACCTAAAATAAGAGAGGATTTTTTTTTTTTTTGCATGTTTGGTATCCTTAATTTTCTTGTTACCTCATATGTAAATGTTTTAATTAGCAAAATTAGTGTATTATTTAATTTTTGATATACTAAATAATTGGTCACCCTTTTTCTCCTGTGTAGAGATTTTCTGGCACATGATGCAGGACAGGGTTATTGGAGTCAGAGGAAACTGAATTCAGGGCTCCCAGTTTAACTAGCACGTTGTTCACAGGCAAGGCATGCAAACATTTGGAGCCTCATCCTCTTCATCTGGGAAATGGGAAAAAATGGCACTTACTTGCCAATTTCATATGATTGTTGAGAGAACCAAATGCTATACTGGCTGCCCAAGTGATTTTATACGTGAAGAAATTTTATATAAATCTTAGTCTTATGTTTCCAAAGTTTTAAGTTATTCTTTATATTTGAGCTTTTCCTTTCTTTGTAAGAGCAGACTCTCATAACAAACCCAGTTCTTGGAAGGTATGAATTCTAAATTTTGAGGAGAATCCAAATCAATAGTAAATATTTTTTTAAATTGTGTTGACACTGTACTTTTAACAAAATATAGAGATCCCTGAAGTGTAATGAAATAAATAAATATTTCTCTAGGACTTAATTTAGTCTCACTATATTCAGAAGACTGTTCATTGTCTTTTTTCAAAATACTCTAAGATGCCTACCCATGACACTGTTGACATTTTCAATACAGTTTGCAGAAATCTTCTGATTCTTATCCTTTGCTGGAATTTCCCTAGCTCATGCTTTAAAATTAAGACCATTTTTTGTCTGCTTTAGAAAATTCACTTGTAATGTTAGTTATTACTTAATTTTAATTTACCTTTTTAAAAATGTATGCCTTCTTCATATTATTGTTGTTATTGTTCTGTCTGGTATCCTTGATCTTAATAGTAAGTCTTCACTGGAGAAAGAAAGCATTTAAATTGTCACATGATATATCTAATTAGAACTTTGAGTACTCTGTGCTTTAATTCTTCTTGGAGACAGAATTGTTTTGAAGTTAAGTTTGGCCACTCTGCCCAATGCTACTGCTGCATTTAAGGCACTCATGTGAAGAAATAGGCAATACAGACTGAATGTGTCTTGCTCACATAGCATTTCATGTAGCTGGGTGCTAAATTCAGGAAGTAACTTTGGTTCTTTCTCATAAGTGCCCTGCAAATACGTGTCCCTCAAGTGTCCTCTTTCTCTAATATTGTATTACTCTAAAGAGTCCAAAATTTTCTCCAAACAACCTGCTTAGTATACAAAGAGCGGTCACTGAAACTCTCAGGCAAAGTTTTGACTTACATTAGCAGCTGAACATTTCATTCAGTGTCTTGGCTAAGGAAGCATTTATAAATTCAAAATCTTTAATGAGTTTCCTAATGTAGGTGGAGAAGAAGATACAATCAAGATGAATTTCCCCTGTGAAGAGAAGGCGGTTGTTGAATGGTACTGGAAGTGGACCAGCTGGCCACTGTTTATGGAAACAGTCAGACTCTTATCCATAGACAGGAAAGAGAGTCAAATACCAAAGTCCTTTCAACATACAGCTGAAACATTTTCAGACTTCTGAGAAAGGTCTAAATCTAAGATAGATATACCTTTTTGTTCCTTGAAGATATAGGAAAAAGAAAATAAAGAAATAACAGTAAAAGTAATCTTAATTGATTCTGTAATTTATATGCTATGAACACGTCACCTTTTGGGAAAACAATTACTTTGCCAAATTTTACCAGAGGAACAGGTGAATTTTATACCCACTCTATATTAGTGAGAGGAAAGTGAATTAATTGATGTATATAGCAAGTAAGTGTGGGATAAAAATGTAGTTTTAATTCCTTTATTGTATCTACATTGATCTCAAAAAAGTAATGTAGCAAGAAATAGTTCTTTACTTTTAACAAGCAACACATGAAATCAATTATTTTGATGTCTTTGTACCAAATGGTAGATTCTGTGAGTTTTATGACCAAAGAGATTTACAGAAAAGAATTTCTGGAAAGGAAAATGAAGAAGGATAGTCTTTATTTCTATGTTATTCTATTGATAAAATTAATTTTATTGCTTCATGTAATAAATACTTCGCCACTAGCAGAGAAAGATTGACCTATGTCAAACAAAATGAATAAGAATCAATATTACAGAAAATATTTTGAGTAACAAAGAAAAATCAAAATTAAACTACAATTTCTTATAAATAAATTTCTTTTCAATAACCCATTGTATTCAAGAAGTATCAAATTACTGTTTTAACAGTTGACATTTGCAAAAAATACCTGGTATCCCATCATAAAAATATTAATTATTATATCCATAGCTGAAGTCATCTGCATTTAAATCTAAAAATTTTATTCAAAGCTTTGTCTTGTATTTAAAACATTAGTAAGTTTTGATAAAAAATTGACCACTATTTCTTTATATGCGAATACAAAGTTTACTCTCGCTTTTGATAACTTTGCTGCTCCTCCCCTCCAAAACTCAGCCTTTACCAAAGGACACTTCCTATAAATAGACCCCAAAATGGTGCAAAAAACAAGACTAACTATAAAAGTCTTAAAGAAGTGCACTACACACAGGCACCCAAAGAGAGAGAGAGAGAGAGAGAGAGAGAGAGAGAGAGAGAGAGAGAGAGAGAAATAACTTTTATTGCAAGAAAAAATTTTTTCCAAGTCTGTTTTCGTATTTATTTTTGTTACTAATGTCACAGACCAACTGATTAAAATGTCATGCTTTCAGAAAGAACTTGATTTTAGTTGTGTGAACACAGATACAGTTAAGGTAGCAACTAGAAGGGTCACAGACAGATACAAAAACATATAACCTCAGATTAGAAGATAGTTGTAAAAAGAAAACAGTAACAGAAATCTCCTCCTGTCTGTCTTTTTCTCTTCCTTCCTCCTCCTCTCCTTCCATCCCTCCCTCCTTCTTTCTTTCAGCTCGATAGTCTCTGGATCCACTCACTCATAAAGAAGTATATGGTATCTATATTTTGATTATTGTGAATATCACTATGATGAACTTTCGATAGCAGCCAGCCTACTGGATATGAAGAGATATCTCTCTGTGGTTTTGTATTACATTTTCCTGATGATTTATAATGTCTAGTACCTTTTCGTATATGCATTAATCATTTGTATGTTCTTGGAAATATATCTGCTCAAACCTTTTCCCTATTTTTTTTTACTCGTTACTTTTTTTAATGGAGTCATTGGAATTTCTAATGTATTTTCACATTAGCTCCCTGTTGGATAGACTGAATAGATGTATTTTCTCCTATTTTGGGATTATTCTTCCATTTTGTTGATTGTTTACTTTTCTATGAATTAGTTTAACATAATCTTGCTTTTTTACTTTATTTTATGGTGACAAATCACTTTTTTACTTTATTTTGCGGTGACAAATCTAAAATCTAAAATTTGTTTATGGTGACAAATCTAAAATCATTACTAAAGGCAATGTCATGGAGGTTTTCCTGAAAATTTTCTTCAAGAAGTTGTATAATTTTAGATCTTTTATTTAAATGATTACTTAATTCTTTTTGACACTATTGTTAATAGGATTGCTTTCTTAAATTCTTGTTTAGGATTGTTAGTTGCTATTATACAAAAATGTAATTGATGTTTGTAGGTATTTTATATCCTGCAACTTTACTGAATTTACTCATTAGTTCTAACAGTTTTTGTTTGGTGAATTAAGAATACTCTGCAAGGATTCACTTTTGTGATCTTTATAAGACTATATCATCTGCCAATAGAAAAAATTCACCTCTTCTTTTTCTATTTGAATATCTTTTATCTATTTTTAAAATTGTCAAATTACTTTCACTGTTGTCTAGCACTATGTTGAACAAAGTGGTGGTAAGAGGCACCTGTGTCTTGTGCTGCGCTTAGAATAGAAGCTTTCAACTTCTCACCATTGAGTTCGATGTTAGCTGCAGGCTTCTCATGTATGGTTCTTATTTTGCTGCAGTCTATTTCTTCTATTCTTAACTTCTGAGAGTTTTCATTATGAAAAAAGAATTGCTGAATCTTCTAAAATGCTTTACCTAAACCTTCTGAGGTTATAACAAGATTTTAATCCTTCATTTTCTTAATGTGTCATATCAAACTTATTGATTTGCATATCAACTATCCTTGCATGCCAGAGACAAATCTCACTTGATCACAGTGTATGTATTTGTATATGTGCCACCGAATGCTGTTTGCTGGTATTTTTGAGGAATTTTCAATGTATGTTCATCAAGGATATTGGTCTATAATTTTATTTTCTTATGATGTCCTTGTCTGATGTTGGTATCAAGGTAGTATTAACCTTGAAAAGTGTATATTTTCTTCATTTAATACTTTGGCCAAATTTGAGAAACATTCATATTAGTTTTTTCTTTGAATAATTAGTAAGTTTTCCAATCAAGCTGTCAGATCTCAAGCTTTTCTTTAATGAAAGTTTTTGATTATTGATTCAATCCCACTGTACTTAGTGTTGATTCCCTTCAGATCCTCTCTTTTTCTTAGTACATCTTTTCTGCTACAACAAAATACCATAGACTGAATTATTTATAGTGAAGAGAAACTTACTGGCTTACAGTTCTGGAAACTAGAAGCCCCAACACCAAGGTGTTTGCATATGGTTAAGGCCTTCTTGCTGTATTATAACATGGCAGAAGACGTAAGTTCATTTACTGAACACTTCCAAAAGATCTCAGTTCTTTGTACTGTTACAATAGCATTAAGTCTCATTGTGAAACTTGAAAGAGATAAATATTCAAACCCTAGCCCTGTTTCTTTCTGATTCTGTCTTGATAAGTTGTATCGAGAAATATTTCCATTTCTTCTAAGTTATCCCATATGTTGGCATATAGGTAGTATCTTAGGATCCTTTGTATTTCTGTAGTTTTGATAATAATGTCTCATCTTTCATTTTTTATTTTATTTACTGGATTTTTCTGTTAGTCTAGATAAAGTTTGTCCATTTTTTTTTAGAAACCAATTCAGTTTCTTTGATTTTTCCTATTTCACTCATTTCTACTCTGATTTTCTATTTCTACTAAATTTGAATCTTGTTTGATCTATTTTTAGTTCTTAAGCTACAATTTTAGGTTAACAAATTTATTCTTTTTAATACAGGATTTTATTGATAAAAATTTCCTTGTTAAAACTGTTCTGCCATATCCCATGAATTCTGATACATTCCCATTTTTGTTTAATTCAAGAAATTTCTTAACTTCCATTTCCATGTCTGCTATGATGAATTGCTGATTTAGAAGCATGTCATTTAATTTCCAAACATTTGTAAATTTTTAGGTTTACTCATATTATTGATTTCTAGTTTCATAACATTATGATTAGAAAGTATATTTCACATGATTTTATTCATTTTAAGGGTGTATTGTGGCCTAACAAAGTGTGTTGTAAATTGGGATCAGTGTGTTCTTGTGAGGAAGGTATATTTTGGTTCTATTGAATGAAATGTTTTGTACATATATGTCAAGAATATTTGGTCTACTGTATAATTAAATTTACTCTTTTATTGATTTTGTGTCTAGATGATTATACATTGTTGAAAGTGGAGTATTTATGCCTCCTATTATTATCTATTACTGTTCATCCATCAATTGAAGTCTATGATACTTGTGTTACTGCTAAATGCATATTTAGCAGTTTATATTTATATTTATTTGTATGTTATACGTTTTTAATTATTATATCAACTTGATTAATTTGTCATTGAATTTATTATAATATAGTTACATTTCTTTTTTGGTGATTTTTGACTTCAATTTTTTTTGTCTGATATGTGTACACACCCTTGGAAAACTCTTTTGTTTTCCATTTGCACAGACACACTTTGTCAATTCTTGCTCCTTCACTCTACGTGCATCCTGCAAGCTAAAGTAAGGCTTGTAGGTAACACACTGAATCTTATTTTTGTTTAATTCATAAAGCCACTTTATTTAATTCATAAAGCCACTATATCTTTTGATGGAAAACTTGAAGCCACTTACATTGAAGGTAAATATTGGTAGGGAAACATTGGCTATTGCTACTGCATTAGTTATTTTCTAATTAGTTATTTCCATTCTGTGTATCCTTCTTGTCTTGCCATCTTTCTTTGTGATGTGAAGATTTTTCTTGGTAACTTTTATTATTTTTTTTCGGTTGTCTGTAAGCTCGTACTTTGTTTATATGGGGTTCATACCCACCATAACTTTAAAAAACTTTAAAAAAACCAAACAATGCAATTTTCATTACCTAAAAAACTATACCTTTCCTTGTATGTTATTGTTATAACTGATATATTTACTAAAAAAATTATTGAAGCTATTTTTTTTTTTTTGGTAGCAGGAATCAAACTCAAGACCTCGTGTTTGTCAGGTAGGTGCTGTGCCACTGAGTTGTATTCCTGGCCCTTCTATAATTTTCCTTAAATTTTGTTTTTAATCTTTCTGCTAATCTTTCTGCCAATGACTTACGCATAACCATTATAGCATTAGATATTCTGAATATGATTATATAATACATTTATCAGTTTGTCTTTCACTTGCATGTTTCATTTTACTAATTCAACTCAAAGGTCTTCCTTGAATGTTCCTTATAAGGAAGGTATGCTGATGATGAACCTTCTCAGTTTTTGTTTACTGTGCAAATTGTTTATTCACCCTTGTCTTAGTTGCTTTTTACTCGTCACTGGAACAAAATACCTGATATCCAACATTGGAAAAAGAAAATTTCTTATAGTTTTTGGAGGTTTCAGTCCATACTCAGTTGGCTCCTTGGCAGGGTGGCATGGTGAGGCCACAGTTCATGGTGGCTGCAAACCGCAAGGCAGCAACCAGCAAGAGAGAGACACGCCTGCTTCCTGCCATTATATCACATCCTGGCTTCACCCCTAGGCCGGTTGTAGCACTCACACCCCCAAGTGCTAGACAATGAAACAGTCACAAATGCACAATGCAAAGGCATGAGGCTTGGGGGGCCACCGACATAAACCATGACAATCCTTCAATTATTTTGTGCTGGGGATTGAACACAAGGCCTCGTTTCTGGCACCCATACATTCTCCTACCAAACTCCATTTCCAGCTCCCTTCTTCATTTCTAAGGGACAGTACTTTAGATTGCAATGTTTAGTTTTTCCACTCATCACTTTGAAAATATCTCCCTGTCCTGTTGAGAAATCCATCGATAGCCTTATAGAAATGCTCTTCTCTGTGAGAAACCTCTCTTTCCTTGATGTTTTAGAGGTTGTCTCTGCCTTTCATTTTTGACACATCACATAGTGTGATGTGTCTTTGTGGGTTGGGTTTGGTTAGAGACCTTCTTATATCTGAACTGTCAGGTTCTTCACCTGATGGGGAACTTTTCAGCTATTTTTTCTTTAAATAATCTTTCTGTCCTTTCTGAAATAACCATAATGTGATTGTTAGCTCTTTTTATCATCTCCGTCTTCATTCCTTTCAGTCTTTTTTTCCTTTTCCTTCTCTGTTTTAAAATGCATCTTTTGAGTTTACATATTATTTTTTTTGAAGTCTATATTAACACGCTATTGCATTTTTCACTTTATTCCTGAGGCTTGTGAGCTGCAGTATTTTTTTTTTTATTTTCTACAATTATGAACTTCTCACTTTCTTTCTTATTTCTTGGTCTCACTAAGGAGAATGGGAGTAATTCTTTTGTTGCTTGCTGAATTTCCTTAAAACAAATATTTGGAATTGTTTGTCAGCAACTCAAACTCATAAATCAGTATTTACTTTACCTAAAAGAATCCAAGAATCGGATAGATGATACCTTTTAAATGATACCCATTAAAACAGGCGTAAGTCTCTCATTAATTTTTATGTAGTTGTATTTATAGTGCTCACTTCTAATATCTGCTAATTTCTTTCTCCCTTATTTTAGACCTATGTTGTCAACATTGTTAGGCTTATACAGTTGATCTTATTTACTGGTATATGGATTTGTATTTATACTTTTAAGTAAAAACAATACCTCTGTTTAACTTTATCCAGATAATTTCAGATAGCACTCAATAATGAGTTGAGCAATGTGAATTTCAGTCTGGCCCTGCAGAGTTCTACTATGCAGCAGGAAGTGTTGTTTTTGGAACAATATTAGATGCCCTTTAGTATTTTACTGTCTCCTGACAGAAATTAATAGTGAAGGTCTTATAGAGTAATTTATCAACTACTTTTTGAGTTCACTTTTACAAATTATTATCCTCAGTTGAGGGAATATGTTGCCTATGATTTTGCATCAAAATATGGGTGGAAGGCAGATTCTGACGAGGGTAAGCTCTTGGGAGTAACTGATATGGGTGACTTGGACCTCAGTCAGACTCCTTGAGGCCCAGTCTTGAAAGAAGCTGAAGGGACATGCAGCAGGGCTCTGAGTGATCCACAAGATATATAAACACAGATGGAGCAGACCAAGGCACCAGCCCAGAAACTGCCTGGGACAAAAAGAGCAATTAGCACATTGTACAGCAAAATGCCCACGCAGGCCTCAGAAACAAACAGTGTGTGTGTGTGCATTGCGTGTATGTCTACATGTCTTTAAAAGTAAGCATAGAAGTAGGTTTAAAATTTTATAAAAATTCATACAAGTGGAGTGGATGATCTAAGTTCTTTTTTGAGCTTTTATAAAAATATAAAACTCATAAAACTACATATGTTAGTATTGTTTATATTTAAGGAAAAGTTCAAATGTCTGCTAGGAACTGTGCATTCAGATTCTAGAAAGCATAGTCTATGTATTCACTTTAATTTTACCAAAACACGTATGTTATATGAAACTTAACAATGTGCCACATTAATGTAAGTTATTAATAGCAGAGGAAAGTTTGAATGGAAGAAAGGTGGAAATAATTTATAAAAATTGTATTTTCTGCTAAATTTTTCATAAATATGAAACTGCTATAAAATCAAAGTATATTAAGTTAAAAATAATTTTAAAAGGGAAATAAAACTAATGCCGTAATTCATAATGGTGTATCATGATTTTCCTCCCTCACTCTGCCTTCAAAAAATCAACAATGGCAGTTTTTTGGTATGGCTTTATCATAGAAAAAAATAACATTGTATAACTTATAGAAAAGCCTTCTTAAAATGACTTACACTGAAATGTACATATAATTTTTAAAAATTAGAATCTACTTTTCCTGTGTTTTTATGTACAATAGTGTGACCAGAATGAACTGTGTATTTTGAGGGAAGAAAGGCATTTTCTAAGAATATTTTTCACTGATAAATAAGATATCTTTTCTTATCAAGTTTTAGAAACGACAAGGATATATCTATGAAAGATGAGTTTTTAAAAGATTTCTATTTAATAATGTAACTCAATTATTCATATGCTCAAATTAGGATCCATTATGAGTTGGTGAGGGAATGAATAATGTGCATTTTGTAAAATATATATTGAGAGAGAGAGAGAAAGAAAAAACAAAGTGTAATACACCAGTGGGAACTATGAAATGGCATTTTCTAATAGTGAATTTTATTTTTAACCATTTATCTTGTGTCACTTTCTTTCTTGGAATATGATTTCTGATTCTGCTTTGTCTGAGAAATAACAGCAAGTTCACTAGAAGGGCCTGAAATTTAAAAAAAAAAAAAAAAGTCTAACATCCTGCCAAAGAAAAATATTCTTTCAAATTCTGTCGTAGGATTTCCAGCATCAGAATTTATGGAGGCCTGAAGTTCCTGGCTCTGACATAACTGGCATTACTTGATCGTTCTAACCACAGCACTAAAAAGCTGAAAAGAATCAGTCAGATAGAATTCACATTTACTTTTTCTTTCAATGAAATTCATTGTATAGTAGCATATGTTTAAGAGAATGTGTGAGTTTTATTGCAGGTCAGAAAGGCTGCCGTTCTAATCCACGATTCACAAGGAAAACAAAGCACAGAAAGCCCAGCGCAAGGCTGGTGAGTTGGAATTCGGAGAGTTCCAGTGTGTAAACCACCTTCCAGACCAAAACGTGTGCAACAATAGGGCAATAAAAATGAAAACATCCCATGTGGACAGGAGACACTTCGTTTTAGAGCCCTTAATGTTTTATTTAGAAGTTGTTGGTCAGATTCTTTCAAGGCCAGAATGATTCTGAATAATGGTGTTTTGTGAAGTGCATAAACCATTTGTAATCTCAAGGGGAATATCAAATATATTTCACTTGCCAAGAAGTCAATCAGTCAACCACAGATCTTTATTTGATGCAAATTATTGAACACCTGCCATATTAGAACTGGCCAGGTGGTAAGTTGATGGCAACATTGCCCTCAAGGTGCTTATAATCAGAGGAAAATAAAGAGGAAAGGCAACTAAAATTCATAGAGAACTTCCACTTTACAGTATTTCACACGCATTTCCAAAGGATGGTTAAATATGTTAATTTCTGGGTGATACCTTCACAACCACCAACAAAAGTATATACATATATCATGGGCTATAGGCACTTGTGTATGCAGAAGTGTGTAAATATGCAGAAGGAGGCATTTGTCTTAATTTAGAAAAGCCTTAGGAAAGAGTTGAACTTCAGGGTACAGGCTCTGTATTTAGGGGGCAGAATTCTGAATGCTGTATGTCTGGAAAATAAATATTATGCCAAATTGTGGGAAGCATGTAATAGAGAAATTAACCGTTAGCTTTCTTATTCAAAGTAGTAACTTGATTTTATTTATTTATTACTTTAAAGATAGTAAAATCCCACAAAACAAAACAAAGCAGCAAAATTGGTACAGAACTTCAGAGCAGGTTACTAGAAAACAATGACTACCATGGTATATCTTGTTATCTTCACAATAGTGATTCATTCCATCAGGTGTAGCAAAATCAAACCAAAAACAAAACAGAACAAAATCAATCAAAACAGAATATTGACTAAAGCAAAACAACTTGAACGCAGCATAACAGTGAGAGGAATATTGGTTTTCAAAGATAAGATAAATGGAAATCCCTCATATTAGCTGTATTGCACACTGTCGTCCTCCCAAGAGATGCTCAGATCACTGGCCCCAGGCCTGCAAAATCAACCAAGCAATTAAGCATTTCATCATTTTATATACCTTAGTTGCTAAACTCAGTCTGTCCTCCGAACCACTGGGTTGCTTACAGGGGGTGGGGGTAGGATTTGATGCTCAGTCCTCATGCCCGGAGGCTCATGGGAGGTGCTGATCTTTCTCCTCCTAGAAGCCATGTCGCTTGAGCGTCTTACCAGAGAGCCTGGCTGCTTGGCTTCTGGTTGGGTCCTTCCTGTCCCAGGATCCTAGCTTGATTTGAAAGTAATTTTGGAAAGTTAGTCTGAAGGATTTGAACAAGGGAATGATGTAATTTAAATTCACCTGAAGAAGTCTCTTCAACCTTCTACGTGCAGGAA